AAGAATTATACTGTTTTTCTTGTACAAATAATCCTTAAAGCAGCTGTTCAGTCTCACAATGATGTTGGAAGCATATTTTATGCAGCCTAAAAACTATTTCTGTATTAGATATTTAAATGCATGAGGATAAGTTCTAATTGCTTTTTGTTTAAAACAGAAACATAGAAGAAGCATTAGCCCCAGTTTGTACAAAATGTCTGCTGCAACTGAACTCACGTTAGTTCAAAACTGAAAATCATTCCAGTTTTGTAAAACTGCTGCTACTGGTTTTATCAATAAAGTCTAAGCAGATGGCTTATACGTATACATGTGAAATTTTTGTATGTCAAAAAAGATACAGTTTTGCAGCATCAACATGCAAATTTTATGGGCCTGAGTGATATTACTTATTTCATTATATACAAAAACCGTTAACTCTCAAACCATACCAACTGCAGACATAGATATATTAGAACTATAAGTATAACATTTATGACCCATATAATTTATTTTGGTTTTAGGGTGCTGTAGGCTTTTATGTGGAACACAGATACAAATCAATGTATATCAACTCAAAAGCTAGCTTAAAGTGTTGAATTTAAATTAAGAATATTGGGTAAAATTGGGTCATTTGTTGAGATGTGAATGAACCTAGAGACTGTCATACAAAGTGAAGTAAGTCAGAAAGAGAAAAACAAATATCATATATTAACGCATGTATGTCGAACCTAGAAAAATGGTACAGATGAACCGGTTTTCAGGGCAGAAGTTGAGACACAAATGTAGAGAACAAACGTATGGACACCAAGGGGGTAAAGCCGTGGGGGGGTGGGGATGGTGGTGTGATGAATTGGGTGATTGGGATTGACATGTATACACTGATGTGTATAAAATGGATGGCTAATAAGAACCTGCTGTATAAAAAAAAAAAAGAATATTGGGTAAGTAAGGAGCTCTATAAATGTAAAGATCACCTGAAATAACTTAATTTCATCTGAGGAGCATTCTGAGAAGGCAATATATAGGCATTCCTGTACAAATGTGTGGGTAATTACTCATCCAAGAGGCTCTCGTCCAGAGGTCTCTCCCTTCTACGTATAGACAGTTCTGATAAGTTTTCAAGGCTCCGATGCAGCAAGCTAGAAGTAGAGTGAGCAGAGCTATTATGAACAGCCACCTCCACAGCAGTAAAAACACAACTAATATCCCCAAAACAAAAAAAAAGAAAATGGAAGAAAAAAACTATAGATGTTTCAGGGAAAATTTATTTTTACCATTTTGCATACTGTATTAGTTGAGGGAATTAATGCTACGTGTTATAACAAGCCTAAATGTCAGTGAGTTAGTATAAGAAAGGTTTATTTTCACTAAGATGTTCTTCCCCATACAGCTTGCTTTCTTAGCATCTCAGGAATTGAAGCCCATCTCAGAATCCTTAGGGCCTCTAAAGGAATATTTAGTTGGTCATACAAATAGAGGGGGAAGAAAAGGCATGAGAATCGAATCGCTTTAAGGAGCCAGGCTAAGAGGTGGCAACCTCTCCTTCTGTGTGTCCATTGGCCAGAGCTAGTCACTTTGTTCCCCTTACGTTTAAGAAGGCTGGGAATTGTTGTTTATTTGTGCATACGGAAAAATGAATCAGTTTAGTGAGAATCTTCTAGGCAGAATTTGGCACACATTTTTTTTCTTCTCTTTAAAAAAATTATCTCAAATGTTGTGGTAGTGGTGATTATTTAAGGAAGGCTTGCTAATTGCAAGCTCATTTCTTATGTTGCTGAAGTTCTTCCTAACCTGTGGTGACACTAGAACATTACACGCTGATTAAGAATTCTACTTGTTCACCCTAGTCATCTTGGAGCATCTTAACACTGTTTAGAGCGGTTGTGGGGGGTTGCAAGTAAAGATCATTTGAGGTCACATTTCTAAAGCCACAGGGCAGAGTTTGAGCACTCAGATCGAGTACAGTTGAGCATTTCTACATGTGTCTGTGCACTACATATTGATACATATGTGATATTTAAAAAAAAAACAGAAAATATATAAAATTGTGAGCAAAAGCAGAAAATTGCTGAGGGAACAGATTTTTAAAGTAACTCATCTGCAGAACGAAAAACTTGACAAATTTGATTGCTGTCTTCTGACATTGCTTCAACAGAGACTTAAACATCCTTAAATGTTAAAATAATTGAGACAGCCATCTATGATTGTGATTCTTAAAGTCTTTTGTAGCAATTAAAAAATTGTAATCATCTTGAATAACATTTTATTGATGAATCAAATCACATTATATGTCTTGTAAACCTCATAGTCTCTTTACAGTTTCTCTAGGGTTTCTCCAGGGAGATTCAGAGACATGGCTCAAGAGGACTTGGGTGACAATTCAGAGCTCTGATGAATTTTAATGTGCATTCTACTACATTATACAACATCTCATCCTTTTCAGCAGACAGATAAGGAGTAGGAGACAGGATTAGCATTACTTCTGTGGTTGTCTCAAGGAGGGACAAGATTCAGTGGTGAAAAGATTAGAATTTAGATGAATTCTAAGGTGGTTAGTATGGTATTTTAATTTTTAAATCCAAAATTGTTTAGTGAAGGGTTTGCTCTAATCACCAGAAGAATTGAAAAATTTATAAAATTATATCTGCAGACACAGTGGGTCCAGTAAAGACTAAACTCTTATACCCATGTTCTATTTCTGGCTTTGCCACCAAGCAATTCTGCAATCTTGAGATTACCTTGACCTTTTCCTTCATGTCTTCAAAAATCTGTTATTTTTCTTGAGGTGGTCCCTCAAGATGAAGAGGGAATTTGGCAATTATTTGGTGAGTTATATTGACAGCAGGAAAGGCAATTTCCTGGTCCATTCTAATAAGGTATACTAAAGGTGCGGTTCGTTTTGGTCAAGTTAGCTATAGCTGCTTCTAAACAGATTTTTTTTTTTTCGCTCCATAGAGAGGCAGCATGTGATAATGGAGGCTACGTTTCACCTGAGGTAGAGGAGAATTTTAAGGAAAGATGAAACAGTTCAACTCAGAGGTCTCACACCTACTTTGGAGGACACAGAAAGAAGAGAATTAGGAAAACAGATAAAGGACTTTTAGGTTATTTTCCAATGCCATTAAAATTCAGATAGTGACTTTTTTTTTTTGTAGAAATCAGTTCATGTTTTGTGTTTTTTTCCAACCAAACTCAGCCAGAGTGTTCTTTTTTTTTAATTTTTATTTTATATTGGAGTATAGTTGATTTACAATGTTGTGTTCGTTTCAGGTGTACAGAGAGTGACCTTTATAAAATGGTTTGAGAAGGAAAAGAAGTTACTATATCAGTGCAACATCTCACTAAGGGCAGAAAACAGTTTTCTATGTGAGAGGCTTTTTTCCTCTCCTTCACTTAACAAAAAGTACAGCAACTAGTGGCTGCCCTCATGGCTTATGTAAGCTCACTGATAGCTGCATAGCTAAGGTGAAAACAGAAGCCTTGAACCAGGCAGGGTGGGTGCATCCACTCACATGTGCTTGTGATTCCCTTTGATGTACCAGGCACTGTGTGCTAGGAGCTGGGAATACAGTGTTAAGGCGGAACAAGCTGGAAACCTGGCGTGATGACTGTTGTGAAGTGGGATCAGTAGGATGATTTGGGAATGTAATTAGGAGCCTAATCTAGTTGGTGGGAGGCTCCGAGGGAAAGCCACTATGAAGAAGTGGTAGTTCAGCTGAGACTTGAAGGCTGAGTAGGAGTAAGCCAGGTGAAAGGGAGGCACATTAAGGAAGGAGAAACAACATGTGCAAAATACCTGAGACAAATGAGAACCTTCCGTATTCAAGGAAACTGAAAAAAATGGACTGTGAACAGTAAAGGAGAGCGCCTCCTGAGATGGGCTAGCCAAGAAGGCAAGGCTGACTGAGATATCAGCTCCTTTCTTCCTTGACAGTGAAAAAGAAAGAAGTAGCAGTGGTGCAATTCTGGCTGTGGCTATTGCCCAGATTTGAGGTGTGCTGGTCTCAAAGCCCCCTTTCATACCTTATAGCTGAAATGTGATCATCAGATCTTCAACCCACTTATTACTTCTTCCAGACAGCTAGATGTTAGGTTACCAGCTTTTTTCTCCAGCTTTACTGAGGTATAACGGACAAAACCGTAGGATATTTAAAGCATACAACATAATGATTTGATATACATTGTGAATGGATGTCTAAAACTGAGTTTATTATTAACACAAGATTAATAATAAACACAAAGTTATCAGCTTTTAAATCTTAGGGCTAACAAACTCTTAACTCTACGTTTTGTCATAGGTGTTGAGTTGGTACTGGGTGCCTGAGGGGGCAGGGGCTCCTGAGATTTGTAGGGCCACTTTCCGTAGCCCTTTCAACCTTGCAGAATGTCTGCTATTACAGGAGTCAACATGACACTGTACAGCAGCTCTGCCCTGGCTCCAAAGACTGCAGCTTTTCTTTTTAGTTGATTCCCAGTGCTGCCTTCTTCCTTCCGGGCCCTGGCCTGAAGCTGTAGGGAAGTTGTGTATCTGCTTCTTCAATGAGATTCCCTTTCTGAGAATAGCATGGGCAAAATTTCTCTGCTACGTTTGTCATCTTCCCTTCTTTAATATCGTCCATTGGCTACCCAAATTTGCCCACTTTGACATTCTCAACATCCCCCTTCACCCAAGAACAATAACTGCATTGAACAACAACAAGAAGAAGCAATGATAAAAAATAAAAACATAGCCTGAGTGATCCAATACAGAGACAATACAAGCCTTTGGGTGAATTTATACTAAAGTGTAAATGACTGAAACATGCATATCTTCTCCAGTCTCCCTTGTGAAAAGTACATTCTCTTGCATATTTTTATTTTAAAGAAGTTTTCCTATTAGCCTGAGGTTTTAATTAGCCACTGAATCAAAATGAAGTCTTTCTAACTGCATAAAGTATTTTAGACCACAGGATCATTTTTTTCTGAAACCTTTGGCACCAGCAGGCAGCCACGGACACTGCCAAAAGGAATTAGACTCTGGACTGATTTTCATGTATTAGTTATTTTTACCCTCTTCAAAATCTATCAACTGTTCAAACCTGCATACACAAACAGGAACATTGGGGAGAAGAGTCCCAGAGGGTGGAAGATCCCCTACTCATCCCACGTGCCTCACCTCATGTCACACACTCCTCTCTCTCTCCCCTTGCTGGGGACCTACCCCAAGGCCATCCCAGCTGGTCTCAAGGCACTGACCGAGTCCTGCTTCACAGCCGCTGGAAGTGCCAACCCACTCGCGTCCCCAAACCCGATCCTTCCACGGGACACCCAGCTAGGGTCTACAGCGAGTGACCCTGCCGTGAGAGGCGCGGCCCCCATCACCTGCCCAAGCCGGCGGAGCAGGGCCTGAAGCCCCGCGCGCTCAGCCAACCGCAGCTCCCCAGGCCGCTCTCCAGGACCCAACTCAGGCGAGCACAGGAGCCCCTGTTTGGGGTTATTTGTTCGCCTCCCTCCTGGTTCCTGCTCCCAAACCTTCCACCCAGCAGCCGCCGCCAGCGCACCCGAACCGCAGGAAAGTTGCTCTCTAGCTGTGGAGGGGAGTCATCGCCTCCTAGCAACGCTCCTAGCAACCGGTAACATCTGCTCCCTCTGGTCCAATGCGAGCCGAGAACAGCTGCGCGCCCGCCTCGCGTCGCGAACCCTGAGCGAGAGGAGCTTCAGAGACTGGAGGGACGGACCTGCAGGAGCCAGGGCAGCCCGCCGAGCTGCAGTTGCCTCTGCTGCCACTGTCGCGCCGCCGCCGCCGTCGCTGTCCCTGTCAGCGCCCGTCTGAAGAGGGACAGCGCCGCAAAACGGGAGGGAGCACCGGATCCCGCGCCTTTATGAAACAGGTGCGTGCACCTGTCTCCTGGTGAGTGGACCCAGATCGCAAGGTACGTCTGGACTCATCCAGCCAGGTGCCCTCCTCTGAGACTCAGAAAAGACTCTTTCATTGAGGGTGTGGATAGGGACGTATTCTGGGATCCTACCCCGCCCCCAGCCATTGAAAAGTGGCTAGCTGGTGGTCCCAAAGAACATGATTTGATTTTTTTTTTTTTTTTTAATCTTGGGGTTGTTCTTGCAGATTCTCCTTCCCGTCGCTGTTAGGTTTGGGCTCGGAAGTTTTCAGTCCTCCCTGTTTTCCCTTTGACTTCGCTGACTGTGTGCAGCTAGGAGGGCTGGAAGCAGTGAGCTCCCGTAGAAAACCTATGATTAAGGCGAAAAGGATAGTGTAGTCTCGACTAATTGAATCAACACGTACGGAGAGCAACATTCTTTTTAGGTCCTGCTCTGGAAAGGGTCCATTTGGCCGGGAGCAGCCAGTTCACTGTTACTCAATCTCCTGAAAAGTAACCATAGTAACTCACCTCTCTTTTGATGGGATCTTCCTCATTGGCTGCCTATCTTCCTTTGGAAAGCTCATCTCTCTAAATATAGAAGATGATGAGATCTGTAAGCATACATCCATGTTAAAAAAAAAAAAAGGTGCAGTTAAATATGGCCCTTTAAAGAAAAACTGTCTTCAAAGAAAAAGTACTATTTGGCTATTTCAAATCTTGTGAGAAATAGTGTGTATCCCAGTGAACGATCGAGTTAGTCTGGTTTGAGTTAACTGCTGAATTGTTACTTTACAGAGAATATTTCTTGAAATTATACAAAATCGGGCATTTAAAAACAAGTATATCTGACTCTGATTTTTAAAAAAAAAAAATCAGCGTACTGATAATGTTCCCCAAATAATCTCCTAGTAAATAGTTGGTGAGATCTGCGATTCACTTATTTTCACATTTCTTAGGGTAGTTAAGATTCCTCATGTTCACAGTTAAATCTGGAGAACATTGAAGTAATTGTGTATGTTTAAAGGTTTATCTCTCTGGTTCAGATCAACTCCACCTCAAACATCTTAGTGTCCTCCTACTGCATGCCTTCTCCTGACTTGGTAACTAGTTCAAGTCAGTGCAGTTCTGACTCTTCCAATGTTATTTGTGTCTTGCTCCTTGTTTCAAAATCTCAGGTAGCCATTCATGAGCCCGAGGCTTTGAGAAATGCTCGCTGTGCAAAGGGGAACTCTCACCAGATTTTCTGAAGCTGTCCTAGAGATACACTTTTCAGATTGATTCAGCATTACCAGGTAATCACTAGCTTAAAAGAAATTACTGTTTAAATATGTATCCAGAGAAATAAATGCTAATGTAGCATTACCATAACTTACAAGATCAATATAAGGGATTGTTTATATAGGTGGTTGCTGGGTAGAAGTCAATAGAGGTCCTCTGTAGAAAGGACATTTGTGGGCTGGCAGATTTTCCTCTCTAAGACCCATGTGAATAGGGTGAGGTCAAATTAGGTAGCTTGGCTTGGGGAACATACCAAGCGGAAACCCTGTGAGCACATTGGTGCATGTCCGAAATGAAGGCAATGAAGAGAGCTCTCTCTGCAAAAAGAGATTGTAGTGATTTTTAAAATTTAATTTGCATTAAGGTCATGGTGATAGAAACCCATGAGTGTTAAGCATTTTAAACTCCATTTTCAGAATATAATACAGTCCTATTTTTTATGTATAAAAATTTTAATGAGGGTTCAGCCCTCCAGCATTGTATAACTTTCACATGTACTGAGCTATCCATATGCAGTTCCTAGAGGTAACCAACCTAGCAAATTACAATCAAATTCATGAAAGTATACCTTGCCACATTTCTTCCCTTTCCTTTCTTCTCTTTGTAAAAATAAATAATTGAACAATTTTATTCAGAAACCTATTTGAAAATTTACTCTGTTCTGGTTGTATAGTTTTTATGGATATCATGAGATTTTAAAAGTACTGGTCTATGTAGTCACTTGGTAGAATATCTGTAGTTTAATAAATCTAAGCATTAAAGATGATTGTTTGAGCCATCAAAAATGTTGGTTTCATTAGCCTTTAGCACCACCCACCCTTTTCCCTTCCTCCATTATAATTACTACATTTTATGGTGAGAAACAAATCCAAAGAGACCAGTAAGATTTACTGTCATCTGTCATGAGATGCATATAAATTTCTAGTCATGCTATCAATCTGAAGAAAGTTTGAATAAAGCAGCCACAAGTATTTGCTCATGTATATGCATTAGTCTTGTGCATTAGTAATTTATACACATCCTATCTCTATGTAATATGCATAGAAGTTTAAAATCATTCAGTGCCCTTTATGTGAATGAGTCTGCCCTTTCATTGAGATCACTGTCACAATCAAAAGGTCAAGTAAAAGGGGCTCTTAAATTTTAATTTTGATTCTATCATGAATGTATAGTGTGCAGAATATTTACTGTGCAATTTTAATGTCCATATCTGTTTAAAGTCATTCATCAAAAAATATTATCATGGTCCTTAGTTTAAATACATAAAAATAAATCAAATAAATCACTATAGTGTAAACATTTAATCCTAGAGACATTGGTAGATCCTAAGTTAGAGCATGAAAAATATTCCACCAATCTATAATGAAGGATCTGGTCACTCTTATCAATGGGAACACCAGCTGTACTTGTACATACCATGGATTATAAAAAGGGGTGTACTTAGGTCTGTAAGACTTAGATAAGGCTGAGTTTAAGCAAGTTAAAACTGAAATCAAGTCTAATTTCAGTTTTTCATCAAATACTCTATCTGGAAGCTTTTAGGTGTTTATGAACATTCCATGTTCAGTTTTATGTCATGTTATTTTCATGGGATTTAGAAGATGCTTTGAAACATGGAGAAATGTTGAAAGGTTTGACTAAGATGCTGGGGCCCTTACCTCTACATCTGGGCTGTCCACTGAGAACTCATGCCAGCTGGCTTTAGCTGTCAAAACAGCAACATCCCAACAATAGCTCTAAAGCCAAGGCACAACCAGTTCAGATTGTTGTATCTGTAAAAGCAATATGTTTCAGAAACCCAGAAAAAGCTGAAATAAAATAGCAATTTCAGAAGCAGGGCGGCAAATTGACTATAACTGTGTAGTACCAAAACCGAGGAAGAAGTACACCTTTAGATATTGGGAGGAAGTAATCCTTGTCGACCCTCCCCACCCTCCATCTTATTTTTAATAAGGTCTGTCTAAATAGTCTTGGTACGTTGCTTTAATGTTTCCCCTTTTTAACCTAACCAATTATTTTTTAATTTTTCCTGATTAAATTTAACAGGCTAAAAACAGAGTCATCTAGTTTGCTGCAATAATTCTCAGTGGGGTGGTAGGAGGATATTAAAAAGTACTAAGGGTTTGCTAGTGTTATGTTCAGTATTGTAATATAAGTATATTTAGAAAAAATTTAAACCTTTTCTCATGTTATAAATTATAGAAAGTAAAATGCAACACAAAAATCTTCTTGGGAGGTAGAGATACAAGAGTCTTCTAAATATCAATGATGATCAAAAGGGGTGGAGGGAGAGGTGTGAAGCTGGGAAACCCCCTCTGCAGGGGTGTAGCAGAGTTTGTGTTATTTTTTAAATGCTTATTAAAAGGGGGTGTGTGGTAATACGTCAAGAAAAATTGGGGATGTTGCAGAGAGAACCAGGACTCAGGAGCCTGGAGTCTCAATTCTGTCTCCATGTGCTACCTGTTGTACTACTTTATGGCTCAGTTTCTCCATGTCTAATATGGGGGATAAGCCCATCTACTAAGTGGCATGCTTGAGTTGAACACAATACAATAATTTAATGAAGCACCTATCACTCTTTAGAATAAAGGTGCCCTGTGAATGAAGGACATTTCATCACTAGAGCAACTCCAGGTGGCGACACAAAGCAGGCACCATATGAGTGAGGGCAGAGAATTAGCCAACTCCAGAGCAAATTCTCATACAGTCGGTCCTCGATTTTCACGGATGTGGAACCCACGGATATGGAGGGTCGACTGTACTACACCAGTTTACATAAGGGACTTGAGCATCTGCAGATTTGGGTATCCGTGGGGACCCTGGAACCAATGCCCTGATACTGAGGGACGACTGTGTATTATTAGTGAGTAAAGTTAATGGTTAGTTCCGTTTTATGTTCTTCCTCAACCCTTCTGGGATATCTAGCTAAGTGTTTTTGGTGATATACCCAAACTTGATGTTAGTATCCAAGTGGAAGACAGTGAGGGTGATACAGATGGGGTACTTTTCAAAACACCACTGCCGTGCACATGTCAGGGGTTAAAAACCCTTCTCTCTGAGCAACAGACTGGGGTACCTAAGGAAGTTAGAGCATCTCCCTAGACATAAGATATTTCTTGCAACCTCCATCTGTCAGTGTTATTGCTTTGCCAGTTTTCTTTCTGATACATTTCCACTTTCCAAGGTAAAAGGTAGAGTGAAAGGGAGCCTCATCCTCCAAAACAAGGGATGCACTTCTGAGGGGTGGTAAATCACAAAGTTTCCCCGAGGAACCTGTTGCACTTGGTCTGTCTCATTAATAGGGCCAGCTCATGGCAGAAGTTAGGTAAGCTTCAGTGCAGCATCTAAGGTAACTTCATGATTACACGGCTGGTCATATCCCATTTAATGATGTTGTCTTTGGTTCAGAGACCATCACCAATGGAACAAGGTAGGTGTGTGGAACTAGTGGTCTTTTATTTAATATTCCACACCTGTGCTTGGGGCTATCCTCAATGCTGCTGGTTTCTTGAAAAACATTTCTAACTCTCTGGCTGTCAGTACCCCTGGAAGTTCCTAAGAAAGTTTTCCAGGAGCTGCAACTTGTCGGTAATTCTAAACTGCCAGTAGAGACAATCACGTGCTTAGGGTGGATGATAAATCTGAAGGGACAGATTGCTCCATTGATTCAGAGCTGAAAACTGGCACTGAGTTCTGCTCCTCTAGAGCATATTATCCAGAAGGGTGCCAGACAAGAGGTTATGAGGGAGAAGACTGATGGCATATTGCTAAACATCAACAAAGCTAAAGGTCTATAGAAGGTGCAGCATTATAGCTTTGAATGTTGCACCTGCCTGCCTTCTTGCATACGCTCATGGATGTTTCATGCACCCTCTGCTTAAGAAGAGAGGACAGACGTCCTCCATACAACACAGTGCTTCTGAGTAGCATACTTATATACATATATATGTGACTTCAAAAATGAGGCCACTACAGTAATAATACCTAATATTTAGTGAGCAGAAAATATGTGGGTATATGACAGGCATGAAGTCAGTGCTTTTTAATCATCTCATTTAATCCACACATAACTCAATGAGTTTGATATTTGGCCTCACTTAATCGATGAGGAAACTCAGGCTCTTTGAGATTAAAGGCTTTGTCCAACATCACTAAGAAAATAAAATGAGGAACTGGGATTGGAACCAGTGCTGTAGGATAGCCCCAGCAGGTCGTGCTGAAGTGTTTGAAGCCATGCAGTAAGACTGCAGAATGTAACTAACAGTGACAGGTAGAGCAGCTCTTGAAACAAAAGTGCCCATGGCCCTTAAGGAAGGATTTCGGTAGCTTTGCCACCAGCAAAGCATTATTTAGATAGGTAGGGATATGTGCTTTTAAAGGCTCATGCCAGGCTAACACTATACAAAGAGAAATCGCTGAGAGACTGGAAGCTGAGGCACGTGGTTTGTCCACATCACGGGTCAGTTGTTGTTGTGAGACTAGAAGCACCTTATTTTCCCCATTGATCAAACTCTTCCTTTGTCTTTGGCTACAGATGCCCATGGCCAATAGGATGGTCTGAACTCTGTTTTTGCAGTGTGTTGATTAAAGTGTTGTGAGGCAGAAAATGAAAACCTTACCAGAATTAAGATACATTATACTCATTGCTTCCTTACCATCTCTCAGGCTTTTCGCGGTCTTGGATAAAGAATTGTTTACTAGGACAGGAGTCGTTCTTTTATGATCGTCTGTACTCTCAAAGTGTTTGTAAATTAATTTGCCGATGATCTTTCTTTAATGTACTGCCTGTGGGCCGTGCACCAAATGAAATCACTTTTGTACAATAATAGGATTTCAGTTGTCTGGAGGCAGAAGCAGAAGAATAAGGGAGAGCATTTGAGCAATCATTTGTAATTACATTTGAAACGTTTATTTAAAGAAATATGTATAAATTGTACTGTCAACTCTAATGACAGGGATGGCCATTGTGTTCCGTGACTCTTAACTTGCCGTATTGAAGTTTTAGACTAGGAAATACACTGAAGCATTGAGGCTGACACAGATATTTTATGTGCCCAGAGGTTAGAACATTAAAAACAATTTGAATATTCAAGCCAGCATTAGCTATTTTACTTTTAGAGATAAATTTAGGCTCAACCTCATTCGTTTTATAATTTATATACTGTTCTCAGAGCTCAGGACATGGGCTATGAAGACATAAGATCATTTTGCTTTTCCTTGTCTATTTCATCAGCTTTTTTTGAATAACAGGCTGGGTTGAGTTGGGCTTTTTCATTATGGGAGAATTATATAAATAGATTTACATATGTTTATTGGATCATACAGGCAAACATTTGGAACTTCAGACTAACTTTAATTAATTCTCTAAATGACTATCTGGATATTTTTAAAACAGTTACATTTCCTTCACTCCAAATGTATGACCAATGACAATATATCCAGAAACATTTTTCTGGAGCTTTTGTAGTACTTGTGCTATTTTCAACTTGACCATTTGAAATATTCTTTTGCAGTCTTTTAACTCTCTAATTATAATTGAATATCTGTGGGAGGCAGAGCAGTGGAAAGAATCTTAGGGCCAGAGCTAGGAGGCCAGGCTGGGATTTGCTTCTGGGATAGATCTGTGCTTATTGGCACTAATAAGAGCTAGGATTTGATTGAGTGCTTACTATATGCTGGGCATAATGCCAGTCACTTTCCATGAATTATGTCAGTGATCCTTTGAGACAGTATTATTTCTATCCCCACTTTACAAATGAAATATGTAAAGAGTTTATGTAATTTTCCCAAAGTCACACAGCTAAGAAGTGGTAGAGCTGGGCCACTTGCATCTGACTTCAAAACCCAAACTCTTAGCCACACACCAAATTGGAAATCATTGAACCCTTCTGGGCCTCAGTTTCCTCATCTGTAAATCTTGTAGGCTGAACCATGTGATCAATAAATAATTTCCAGCTCTGAATTTTTTGAGTTCTCATCCAGCCGGGAAAATAGATGTAGGAACTTATGTTTGCCATATATTTTAGCCTCAAAGTGGCTAAAAGCATCCTCCAAAATTTGATGCTGAAAACATTGCAAATAGCTAAACAGCATGCAAGGAAGTAATTGTCAAACAGATAGCAGCTGTGAAAACTTTTCAGCATTTCAACAACCCATGGGGGTGTTTCTTAAGAACAATAAAATAAGTGGCTAAGCGTGTTGCCCATGGAGCTGAGACACAAATCTAGACCCCTGAGAAATTACTGTGTTTCCAGGGTCTAATACATTCTCTATCTTAGGATAACTGCCTGAATACAGCAGACAGAATCTTTATGAACCTCGGAGCCATTGGTATAATTTTTTGGTCTTGATGTTAAATAAAAAATATTTTACTAGGTCATCACTTGGTTTATTTGATATTTGGTTCTCCAAGCTGCCACCTGCCCTCCCTTGTGTCATTCATTAAAAAGTTTTTAATTGGTCATAAATGCTGTAGACATTGTGTTACTTTATAAAATAAAATGAATATATCTATACACCTCCAAATATATATATGAATATATATACACATATCTATTTCCAAATCTTTCCTCATACTTTCCTGCACTACAGTAATTCACTGAGGCTTGTTAAAAAAAAAAAAAATCAGTGACCTGTCCAGCTATAATGCTAATAGCCGTCAGTCGTTGATACTTCTTAATGTGAACCCAGGAATTTATGTTGAAAAGTGACTTGATTCTTTCTTCACTATTAGTTAAAGTGGAGTCTGTCTTTGCTCATAAAGCTAAAACATCTAAGCCAATGTAGCCAATGTCACAATAACAATAACAACAATGACAAAAATCCATCAAGCCGATTGCTTGGCATTCTCATGATTAAGCAATCAGTTGATTGGCTGAATGTTCTGTTTTTCAAATTGCTGTTGTAGTGCTTCTACTACATTTGCCTAATGCTATGACATAGAGACTCTCAGACCTGCCTTATCAGCATCACCTGGAAATTTGTAAGAAATAGAAATTCTCTGCTCCTAGCCCAGATCTACTGAATTAAAACCTCTGGGGGTGGGACAAATAGCAGTTTGTGTTTTTAGGAGAGATGATTCTGGAGAGATGATTCTAATGTTCACTAACTTTTGAGAACCATGGTGGCATCAACTAGTTAAGCAGTTTAAAAAGAAATCAGTAACAATAATTAATTGTCATCATAGAACAACCCAAAGCTTCACCTAATTATTTGATTCAATCCTTTAAAAATACACCTAAGAAAATATTTACTAAAAAACAACCCCTGAGAAAACTGGATTCAGTGATGCTTCCTTTGTTTTCATTATAAACAATTTTGTTTTCCTTTTTTCTAACTTCTGAAATCTGTGAAAACTCCATAGAAACTGAAATATGCTTACTGAATTCAGAAATTGTATACTGACTTTGTTCCAATTGTGAATGATTATTACACATTTGTCTCTTTTTAGGTCAGACACACCAGTGGTTTAACATTCTTATTTCCCTTACAAAACATGCCAACTCTAATTTAAGGCTCTCTTGGGTTTATAATCCACAGTGGTGCCAGTGAAAAATTGGAAAGCTTTAGGTGTGATTTTTTGTAGCTTTTCCTACTTGTTAAGGAAAACCACCCAGCTACAAAAAGCTGCAGGAAATGTTATACAGATGCCACCGAATGGAGGAAAAACTTAGAAGAGGCATGTTCTTAAAGAGCACATTTTTAATATTTAATATTTAAAACATTTAAGATGTTAGAGGAAAACATCAAATGTCTTGACTATGAACTTATTTAACCAACACATTAATAAACTACTCATTTTGTGAATCAAATGGTGTCAACGCTTAAAAATATTCAAGCGTGTGTTTAAGGGTAAAATTGTTGATGCTTAAGTCTAAACTTTTTCTCTGATCTGGTCCACTGAGGTTGAATGAGTACTGAACAGGACACAATTTGTAGTATTCTAAATTCATTCAAGGCTTTCACTAGGAAGCTCCTTATGTATCTTCAGCTTTCAAGGCTGTACTTGCCTCTTTTCCGTGATATCAGCACCACCTAGCGTACATACTAAAAACTCCCTTTGAACCAAACCATCTCTTTCTGAAAATCTGCCTTCAGAACACTGTCCTTTTTTAAACAAGTCAGAATTCTCAACAATAGTATGTTAAAGGAGAGAACAAAATTTTCACTTTCAGAAATTATACCAAGGTCAAGTTTTCAAGTCAGTGTGCTATTTAAACTTTTACTTACTTATGATTTACCTCTGTTAAGCCAGGTGTTATGAGGATGGTTATACCATGACCATATCATAGGGTTTGTCTATAGACATGCAGTTATTTCTTTAAAGTGTAATGGGGTCACCAACCATTTTACACAAATTTGGTTAACCTAGCAACATTAAATTCCTTCTGTAAATGAGGCAGTTTTACTAAAAGAATGATGAAAGGTAACATCTCTTTCCATTGCATTTTGTGCATCGACTTCAAATGTGGGTATGTTTTGACATTAAATGGCATGAAATTAAACAGAGGATTGGTAAGTATGTACTTTATTTCAGAGGGGCTGCATAAGGAAATAAATATAATTCTCCAACCTAGAACATCTAATTTGGGTCTGAATAGTGGCATGTGCCTGCAAACAGGCTTCTCAGCCACAGGACAATTGCCACTGACTGCTTCACTGCGTTGCTCGGTAAATGAAGAGAGAATATCAATTTCTGGGGTCACCAGTTTCTTTTCACAAGTAGAACTTATGTTATAAAATACTCTTTTGCTACAGTAATATCTGATTTTTCTCCAATTATTTTATTTTCTATAGCTTATCCAGCAAAAGTATTAACACATACGTTAACAACGTCGAAAGTAGCCTACTTTAAGAGAAAATATGCAGAAGAAGAAGATTTACATCAAGATTACCATGGGTATTTTCCAAAAGTAAGGGTTTATTTATTATTTTTTTTAAAAAATTTTATGAGTCTTGTCGATAACAAAGGCTCTCGTTCTCATTTTTCTAAAATGTAGATTGAATGATGTATTTGCTTTCCAGCACCTGATACTGCCTGAGGACAGGACTTGCATTCTCAAACTTTCTCTAGAGAAGCTCAGATTTCTTGAAGACCCAGAAACCTACTTAAGAAGGTCTGTGTTAATTAACAATTTGCTGAGGAAGATCCATCTAGAGACGGAGAAAGAGAGCTATGAATACTTTAAAGAAGCTCCCTGTTATAAGACTGCTTATTCTGATACAAGAAAACGGCTGAAGTTTATGGTACAGGAATGCTGTTCTCAGTCTCTCTATTATGAAGAGCTGCATTCGTATCATATTGTGCCTTATACTTCGGAGAATGCCATTTATGGAATGGGCTACACTAGCAGCCACTTGGAGCAAAATTCTCAGTTGCTTATTTATAAAATGAATTAAAGTAACTGTTAAAGTCCATTGATACCTTGTTTCTAAATGCCTGAACTGTTTATAGTGAAGATGTTAACATAAGGCACTAATTATCAGTGCCCTTGAGATCAAAGATGAGATGCATGCTGAACTGATTGGAGAGAACCCTGGTTATTATTCAGCAGTCCTTACTATCAGCCAGCCAAATTGAAAATATGTCCACATGTTATAAAGCGGAGAATAAGTGCTTTAGAAGCAAAGTTGTTTTTTTTTTAAGATAAGGTGTGTAGGAAGGGACCTATATTAAGTTCTTACACAGATTTAAACATTTCAAGCCCCCTATTTCCAAATTCTACTACTCTTAATGGAAAGTAACAAAAAGTAACAGATTCAGATTAAACAAATAATGTCTTGTCCCTGAGGATTAAAGGTGGAACGAATTAAATTTTCTGTAAATGATGAGAGGAAGGGTAGATCCTCTCTGAAATGCTTTGGCTTGTCAAGCATTGTGCCAAATAATTGACACCATTCTCCTTTTACCATTAGTGGCAATTCAAGATGTGGCAAACCTACTGCAATTTAACTGCTGAATGTAACAACCAGAACACTCCACATCGATCCATTTTACATTATTATTTTTTTGACTTCATAGAGTTTTCTCTTTCAAAGTGAGATTTAATAAAATAGCCTTGCAGATGGGCTTTTGTCTAAGTTCTAGGGGTCAGTTAAAATTTGTGGTGGGCTTTTAGTTGAGTTTAAATTTATTTATGATGTCATTTTTATAGGCTGTGAAGCTCAGGAAAAGGGTAGGCAGGTAATATTTGATTTTAATAGGCAGGTAATTTAAAAAATCTTACCTGCAAAAACTGGTGAGAACAACAAAAATGCTACATGATGTTATTTCTTCATCTAAGAGTTCATTTAAGGCTGTCTGGATGAAACTTTGCACTGATTTTTGTATAATAGTCGACCATTCACTATTTGACAAAATGTTTCAGAATGCCTTTGGTGGTGAAGTTTAGATAAGTTCCTATATTTTGCAATTTGAAAGGTAATTATTTAACAAGTTTCATAGATTCCTGAAATTGTTTGAAATGGTTCGTGATGTTCTCTGAGGTTTGAGTGAGATGTCTGATTTCAATGTCCAGACTTACGTTCCATGGCGCAAACATCATTTAAAGAATTGTCATTAACTGATAAAACAGATTGGAAAACTAGGTGCCAAAGCTATATTCAAGAAAATACCAAAGACCCAAAGATGAGTGTTAGAGAGACTATGATAATGAAGATAAGAATCTAAAATAAGGATTGTACAGGGCATAGAAGAACAGTGTTAAAGGGATTTGGAATGATTTGCTTACAAATGTGCTTTCAAAGCACTCTATACATACATAATAATGATAGTCAAGGGCACGGCTTGGGCCTTCAGTGATCATATGTTTTTGCAAATCTAAATATGGTGACTTGTCAACATTGTATCTTCCCTCATTGGATGCCATCTTGTAAACAAGAAGGTCTTTATCTCTTAAAGAGAATTTTGTTTTTAGTTTTGATTCACTACTTGCTCCCTCTAATGAATCATCGGGGTGATTAACATGGCTGCTTTCGGTCTAAAGAATATTGGTGCCCTAATTAGCATGCATTGTTAAAGACCACATAGATATATAATTGATAAAAGTATTGGGTTTCTATTTAATTGCTCAATCAGAATTAGGAAAAATTGCTTTAGAACAAGTTGGAAAATTATAATTGAGGGTAATTTTTTTTAATATACATTTATTTATTTTTATTTTTGGCTGCGTTGAGTCTTTGTTGGTGCACGCGGGCTTTCTCTAGTTGCGGGGAGCGGGGACTATTCTTCGTTGCGGTGCACAGCCTTCTCATTGTGGTGGCTTCTCTTGTTGCGGAGCACGGGTTCTAGGCACGTGGGCTTCGGTAGTTGTGGCTCGCAGGCCGTAGAGCGCAGGCTCAGTAGTTGTGGCGCACGGGCTTAGTTGCTCCGCGGCATGTGGGATCTTCCCGGACCAGGGCTCGAACCCGTATCCCCTGTATTGGCAGGCGGATTCTTAACCACTGCGCCACCAGGGAAGTCGAGGCTAGCTTTTAAGGCAATTTAGTGTGAATGGTGAGATAGCTTTGTCGTACAAATATAAATATTTTAAAAATAATTTAAGGGCAAAATTTGTCACCTAAGTTCAAAAACTTTATTTCACTGCTTATACCACACCTTATTCCTCAGAATGTGTTTATTAAAATGTAGATTTCTTAAACAATGGGAATATTAATTGAATATACTCCAAATTTGAGAGGATAATTATTATGTACTTTGAAAGATAGAGTTAGCTCTCTAATAGTTTAAAACTTTTTACCAAAAGGAAAGTTTGGCTTGGTTTAGGACAGTGTCTACAAGAAAACATGCCAGTGCTAATAGGTATGACTTACAAATATACCACATATTGAAATTGTTTGAGGACAGAAATGTGTATACTTTGGGAGAGAAAGGAGAGGGAGAGAAAAAGTTTCCAAGAAAGTGTAAAATTGTAATATTTGCTGTATGTCAGAAATGTTAAAGCAGGAACTCTTGGACAATGAACCCATAACAGACATAAAGTCTGTTTTATTTGGTGACATCATTAACTGAACTCTCTGAATCTTACATTCATATGTAGAGAAGGAACTGTCTTAGAAGCCAGTGGTATTTGTGAATACGCTTTTTTTTTTTTTAAGAAATATGTGTTGATTTCAAAACAGGTTATTTAGAAAATATCTTTTAGAACATTTAATTTCTTTTCCAATAAACAATTCATAGACAAGGAGTTGACTAATGTCATCTTGACTTATTAAAAAAATACTAATTTGTATTTAAACTGTGTTAACTTGTCTGAGTTAACCAATAAGATTACTGTCATTTTACCATGGCAACCTGATATACAGGGAGACCCTATTCAGACCTGCTCTGCTGACTCCATCCTGCATGATCTATTATGGGAGATGCAAAGGTAAGAGAACAGTGACAACTTTTTTAGAACCTTGACATCCTTTCTTTGGTGACAAGAGCCATGCTTAATGTAAGAAAGATAGAATAGGAAATCTGAGTGCCTTTGGTAATGTTGATCAATCTTCTGGGTGCCCAGACAGCCTAAAGACCTGATAAAGAATAAGAAAATGAAACAGAGAGGAAAAATGAGGGTAAAAGGAAGAAAACAGGAGGGGATAGGGAAATAAGGAAAGGAATTAGTAACTGAAAGCAAAAGTTGTTTCCTGTCGGGGGTGGGTGGTTGCTTGCTGTACTCAATTGTTCTTTCCTGTGTCTGCTGTAGATCCCAAATCCAAATTTCCACAATGTATTGATGTTTTCTTACATTCACCAACGATGCATAAGACTAGATTCTATTCAGCATATGTATTATTTGAAATGTGGTACTACTGTGAAATATCCCTGAAATGGAACTTCTTGGGTAGAGGAGAAAAGAAAAAATAGATATTAAGTTGGAAGAAAAACTAAATTGTGAGCCTGTGTACATGTGGTTAAGTTCAAACACATGATCAGATTTCAGTGTACATCCCAAGATTTAATAAACTCAGTGCTAGAGGACTTGGAAATAAGTGCCATTCCCCACTGTTTATTGAGCAACTGCTATGAGCCAGGCACTGTGCCAGGGTTGGGGATACATAGGTGAATGATGCACAGTTCTTTTGTCCAAGCAGTGCATTGATAAGGGAGGAACTCGGAGATGTTTGGGGTTTTTTTTTAATGTAAGAATTCTTTACTGGGAGTGGCACCTGAATTTCTCTTTTCCAAACTGTGTGATGGTTATCAGACATGTATCTCCAAAGGTGTTTGCAGCTAAGAAGATGCACAGAGGAAGAGAATGTCTACTGACCTAGATTTTAGAGCAGAAGGAGAGTACATTCTGCTTTGCAGTGTATTTTATATTTGGAAGCATGATGGAAAACCAGTGCCGCAGAAGGGAAGTGTCGCTGGCCTTAGCTTCACCTGGGGCATAGGAGGAGGTAGGGAGACAAGTGCAAGTACAGAACAATTTCTCCTCCCCAGCCTCTCTAGCTGTGACGTTCTTTTACAGGGCAAATCAGGTTAATATCAAGTCAAGGAGATCCTTGAAGGAGAAGCAAAATCAGGAGATCACAGCCTGAGAGTTGTATATAGTGTGCTCAAGGTTAGAAGGGCAGCTTCCTTTAATTTGCCTTGTGTTGCTGAATTGCTAAAATGAACCTCTGGATTTCTTAACATCAGCTACTGGCGCCATGCTCCTTCTCTCCACTGGCTTCCTCTGAATCACAGCCCCTGCCTTTGCAGTTTGCTGAAAGTGGAGGTTATGGTTCTAATTCTTTATTGCCTTTCCTTTCTTCCGTCATTGATACTGATTTGCTCAAAAATATTGTACCTGGAAAAAAGCAACAATTTGCAGTACTGGTTGAACTCCCTTGGGAAAGGTTTCCAGAGTGTATCAAACTAGAATTCATCTCAGTTTCTTGATACAATTCTTTTAAAAACGACTCTACATCGTCATTAAATAATTGTCTACTAAAGTAATCTTTATGTTTCTAGAGTTCAGTGAAAGGTTATCAGTTCTACATGTTTTGCTAAAGAAAATACCTTAGGTTGGAAACAATGGAAGATCATGTGTAATTAATTCAAGCAGTTCGTGAGTATTTATATAATATTTGGAATTTAAATTTATGTTCTTTTTTCCCATTCTCAAACTTCATTACTATACGTCAGCAATGTGACCTGTCTCCGAATTTTTATTTCCTTATTAAATGGATCATCTCTGAAAGTTGTTGTTACATTCATGGTTGAACCCTTTGGATGATATTTCCCTATTAAAGTTTC